GGTTATTAATACCCAAAAAGTCTAAAAATATTTAAAAATGTATGTTTTTTAATGTTTTATTAGAGTTTGTTCTTGGTCTGTTCTTAATATCTTGTAGGTTTTTTCATTTTTTACCAATTATTTTTCTCTTTTATAAATTACAATGGTTATTAATACCCAAAAAGTCAAAAAATATTTAAAAATGTATGTTTTTTAATGCTTTATTAGAGTTTGTTCTTGGTCTGTTCTTGATCTGTTGTAGGTTTTTTCATTTTTTACCAATTATTTTTCTCTTTTATAAATTACAATGGTTATTAATACCTAAAAAGTCAAAAAATAATTAAAAATGTATGTTTTTTAATGTTTTATTAGAGTTTGTTCTTGGTCTGTTTTTGGTCTGTTCTGTAAGTTTTTTCATTTTTTACCAATTATTTTTCTCTTTTATAAATTACAATGGTTATTAATACCTAAAAAGTCAAAAAATAATTAAAAATGTATGTTTTTTAATGTTTTATTAGAGTTTGTTCTTGGTCTGTTTTTGGTCTGTTCTGTAAGTTTTTTCATTTTTTACCAATTATTTTTCTCTTTTATAAATTACAATAGTTATTAATACCCAAAAAGTAAAAAAATATTTAAAAATGTATGTTTTTTAATGTTTTATTAGAGTTTGTTCTCGGTCTGTTCTTGGTCTGTTCTTAGTGTGTTGTAACTTTTTTCATTTTTTACCAATTTTTTTTCTCTTTTATAAATTACAATGGTTATTAATACCCAAAAAGTCAAAAAATATTTAAAAATGTATGTTTTTTAATGTTTTATTAGAGTTTATTTTTGGTATGTTCTCGGTCTGTTCTTGGTCTGTTCGATCGGTTCTGGTCTGTTATTAGAGATTTCGGTCGGTTCTGGTCTGTTCTTGGTCTATTCTTTGAGATTTCGGTCTGTTCTGGTCTGTGGTCGGTTCTTAGTCTGTTTGGTCGGTTTTGGTCCGTTCTTTACCCGATTTTACAATGAAACACGCGTTTTGCCATCTTCGGGACTGGTTTGAAGTTTTCCAAAAAAAAAAAACATACATTATTGTGTAAAAATTTGAGCAGCATTTCCCCATAAATATAAGCTTCCCCAGAGCCAAAATAACCTGTTGAATATGATAAGTATAAATGCATTGTAATGCCAATAATAAAAATATTGCAACACCAATAATGTTGTGTATACATTTTACAACAAGCAAAACAACCAACATTTCATATACTACTACTCACGGGCCTCTTAAGCTTGTACTTGCTCCAAATTCTGACCGCATGTTCCAACCGGTAAGTTTCTACTTGTTCTTCAGCGAGGTCTTCTAACGGGATTCTGCGAACAAGGTATTCGATAAATTTGTATGTGTAAAGTCCGCAGTCACCTGATCTAAGGTTGTGGACCAACCACTTGGGATAAACGATTGGCCACGCACAGTCAAGTTTATCACCCAGATGGTTAAATAAACCTGTGTACTTCAAGAACTTGGGCATCATGACAGAGATTGGCTCTACGTGTTTTTGCATCTGTTGATCTCTATACATCATAACAGCTGAGTCATACACTTTTATGTTGAATTCAGATAAATCAACATAAAGCGCAACACAATGCTTCCTCTCAATGTTAAGAGGCATAGTGAAGCCCTGCGCGCCATCCCATTTCTGGCCAATTATGCGCTTTTTTCCACAGACATATTCATCTAGGTCGTTGTCAAATGTATACGTTGCCAAGTTCTTTTTGTTGGTGATGAATCGCGTTCTCAATTTTTGGCAAAATACATCATCTAGGACGATAATATCGTTATTGAACTGCCCTTCGGGTGCCCGTGACCTTCTAATCGATAGAAGACCCCATGCCTCGTCAATTTGTTGTAAGTCATAAAAAATAAATTTAGTATAATGATAATGGTATAAAAAATAAGACTAGAAATTTAAAAAATATGTTGTGATTACTTACATCATTGAACAACCATTCACCTGGCTTTAAGATGATCCGGAAGAAGTCCTTCCTCCAATCTCCAAAACCCCACTCAATCAGCTCAGAGTCTGTACTAGTATCAGCGAACCACTTATTGAAGGCCTCGACAGCATCTTTAAAGGTCCACATCTTCTTCCTCACGTTACGCAGGGGATCTGTGTAAGGCGACTCAAAATACTTGCTGGGCCTTTTAAGTCGCTTTTCATTCTTGGATTCAGACTCTGGCTCTGAATGAACCTGTTGCTCAAGTTGATCCTCAGGCTCTGGCTGAACCTGTGGCTCAAGTTGTTCTTCAGGCTTTGGCTGAACCTGTAGCTCAAGTTCTTCCTGAGGCACTGACTGTGGCTGTAATTGTTATTTTGCTAGACATGCTATATTGTCCTTAATTTCTCTAACAGATTGGTCTAGCGAGTCTAACCTCTTGTTGATGGCTTCAAAATATCTACCATTTTACTCTACCATCCTGTGATAGAGTATGTCGAGCATGTAATCAATAGACATACCATCCTGCAGACGAGGTTGTTGTTGTTGTTGTTATTGTTGCTGTTGTTGTTGTTGTTGTTGTTGTCGTTGTTGCTGTTGTTATTGTTGCTGTTGTTGCTGTTGTTGCTGTTGTTGTTGTTGTTGTTGTTGGGGAAGTTGCTGTTGTTGTTGGGAAAGTAGTTAGAGACGAGCCAATTGTTTGGGAGGCTTCGGTTGCTGGACATGGACCATTCTTGCACCAGAGTCCAAAAACGATGCAAGCTGGTCAATCTCAGGATCTTCTTGGTCAGCATAAGGCAGATACAACCTCATGCACATACTATTCATTTCCTCTTCAGTGGGATAAAGAATTGGTACGGCCATTCCCTGTATATTAAAAGAACATACATTCAATGATTATTTACGTGGAAACATATTGTAAAAAAAACAAATATGCCTATTTTGTAAAATTTACACCTATAAAAACATTGTATTTAAACCCTTACCTCACCACTTTGCATGAGGTCGTCTATCTGTCTAACCTCGACCAATGAAACCCGGCGTGCCTCCCATTTGAGGATTCGGGGAAGACGTCCATCAACCATCTTTGCAAACGTGGCGCTGATGGTTGGAAATATTTCGAATGCCCAAACCTGCGTTAAACCAATTTTTTTAAGTCTAGTAAAACAAAAAACAAGGTATTATTTACTATAAGGCCATGAAAAATTATGCATATAACTATATGACATACCTGGAAGGCCCAAGGAAACTCGCATATTGAGTAGGTTTCCTTGATGCTCTTATTACGTCCTTTCCAAACCCATTTATGGAATTTCTCTTTCAAGTTCTTCTTCAAAGCCCGCAGAGTGCATTCAAAAGACACCCTGCCCCATGGATAGCTGTTGAAGAATTCTAAATCATCGACGTAAGACAGCCAATCCAGTGGGACGGTCTTCTTCTCATCCTCAGATAGTAATACTTGTGCTAAAAAATAAATGATAGCGATATTTGCTTTATCGCTACCTTTTATCTTCTTCCCTGTGAGCAATTTTTTTTAAATCAGCAACAAGTACTACGTGGGACTTAAAATACTCCAACAATCTTATATTCTTCGAAGCTTTCAAGACCACGTCCGGCTCTGAGGTTTCCCCGCAGTTCAATCCAGTAATTAAAGTAAATTCCCTCATTCCGAACCTAGTTGTGGTTCCATTAACCATGAACCACAACTCATGTCTCTTTTTTGTTTCTATCTGCCTCAAAAGCAGATAGTGTGTCAACACTCCAAAATAGATCATATTTTCAGACATCGAAATAAAATGTCCGAAGGCAGATTCCTTGAAAATTGACATTTCCGTTTCGGGGTCTAGATTCTGCCTTATTACCTCCAGGGCCTCGATCTTTGACTTCATAGTCACTTTCACTGGGAAATACTCCCGCATAGGATCCATGATCATCCTTAGATGTCCAATCCCAGGAAGTTCATCTGTGTTGTACTTCGGGAGGTCATACTGAAAAAAAAAGAAAAAACACATCGGTCAGAACCGACTAGAATAGATTAAGAAACCAAACAAGAACCGACTGAACCGACCCCAAAACCTGACAGGGACCGACCAAACAGACAGAACCGACCAAAATCGAACAGAACCGACCAAAAACGACCCGAACCGACCAAAACATACCAAGAACCGACCCTAACCGACCAAGAACTGACCACCGACCGACCAAGAACCGATCAAAATCGACCAGAACCGACCCTTCTCGACAAGAACCGACTAAGAACCGACCACCAGAACCGACTTAAAACCGACCAATAACTGACTGCGAACAGGCCAGAACCAAGACCGACTAAGAACCGACTATGAACAGACCAATGTTGTTTATATTAAGTTTTTGTTCTTGCAAAAATGTATAAGAAAAAGTAAAACAAGAATATTACCTGAGCAGATTCCGTTGCCTCGTCGACAAGTGTTCGGGAAATGGCTGTTTTAGTTGAAGAAGAAGAGCTGTTTTGTGATGCCATTTCAGTCTAAAAGTTTCCGATTTTTAGTCAGATTTTGGTGAGCAGGTGGTCGGTTTTTGTGGTCGGGAATTTGGTGAGTGGTCGGGGTCGGTTTTTGGTCGGTTTTAGTGGGAAGGGAGGTCAGTTTTTGGTGAACGGTCGATGTTTGGTGAGGAGTGGTCGGTCGGCCGACGAGAGAGATCGGAGAGAGTGGATCGGCCGGTGAGAGAACTTCGGCGAGAGAGAGAGAAACAGGTGAGAGGAAAGCCGGCGGTCGGTGATGGTCGGTCGTGAGGTTGGTGACTGATCGGAGAGAAAAGCCGGCGGTCGGTGAGAGGAGATCAGAGAGAAAAACCGGAGGTCGGCCATGAGAGAGCTCAGTCAGGAGGAGAGAGGGTCGAGCGGTCGGTTTCGGAGGGAGAGAGGGTCGAGAGGTTGGTTTTGTGAGGAGAGAATTTTTTAAAATGACCCATACACCTGGACTAATAGGACCCATTTTTTACCACGTAAATACACGTCATGATTTTTTTGTTATAAAAAAAAAACTAATCTACTTTCTCAAATTCTGTTTTGCTCCGGTATCTTTTATCAAATTTTCTCTCCTTTGGGTCCCTTCTATTTTCGATGGCCGCCGTCTGTCATTGATTATCCGGAGAAAGCAATCCGATTGAGCTTTATTCTTTTCCTTTGTTTTCCCTCATGCTTTTGTTGGGATTCTGTGCGCCTCAACGCTGAAGTGAAATGTTGGTTGTTTTATGCGTCTCTTAAAAGTACGTATTTACACACCTTAAATCGAATTCGCTCTCCAACTGATTGATTATTATATGCTTTTGTTCTACTCGTCATAACAAATTTGTTAGTCTTTGGATGGTAATTTCAAGGAAAATTCGTTTTGAATTCTGATGCTTTGATTTTCATTTCATTGTTCAAGAATCTGTTCTATGGAGTTTTATTATGCAGAAATTTCCGAGTTATTTAGGAACTTTTTTTCCGCACTTTTTTTTTTTTTTTTTTTTTTTTTTTTTTTTTGCAGTTGGAAGGCGATTTTTTTCCCACCTCTTTTGATCATTTGTTAATATTTTTCTCGCCTCTAATATGGTGAAGGAAAGTGGGTTAATCTTACAATTAATCTTGTGTGGAAATTGGAGTTTAGGTCGTATATTGACATTTAGATGATTCCTGATTGAAAACCCATCCAATTTTACTACTTATATACCCAACATGAGTTGCCATCACTTTTCATTTCCTCTGCTATTGAACTTGTTGAAGATATAGTCTGCTTTTGACTTCATTAGCTTAGGATGATCAGATTACTAATGTCTGAACAAGAGCTGATTTTGAGTAAGCCTTCTTTGACTCTCACGTTGTTGAATTATGCTTTTTTTCCCTTTATATATATGTAAATGGATTTTTTTCTTTTTCTTTTTCTTTTTACTTGATTTGGAGCTTTAGGCTGTATTTGAAGGCCCTTAAGCTTTGGAGTTTTGATGTAGGAAGAATTAGGATAATTACTAGTTTGCTTGTTATTTTTATTAGACTTTATTGTTCGGTTTATTTGTCTCTAGTTTTAGTGTTTTGTCGTTTAGGTTTTATTGTTTGTAAGGCGATAAAAGCCAAAGAATGGAAAGCTGATGTAGACTTTGATTATTGAGATATTGAAAACTAGTATTGAGTGGTTTCTCTCCAATTTGGAGATTTTCCCTAGTGGGGTTTCTTTAGGTGAATTTGGACTTTGAGTCTCATTCTCCGTCTGGCTTAGGCCGGTAAAATTCTGTCTCTCTCCATTCCACTGCATCAAGTTTTGGTTATGAGTTGAGTGTTCATTGTCTGGCCGTTTGCATAAACAGAAAACAAAGGCCCTTATTCTCATTTTATTAGTTTCTTGAATCTTTTTTTCTCACAAGTGATGACCATTCATTCAGGTGATTGTTTGTCTTGGTATGCAAGCAGAATAGTGGAGAACTAAAAGCAATCTCCCACTGTAGATCACAACTATGTCTATCACTAAGATCTTCATTGTGTAAGAATATCCTGTTTCCTTGTACCCTCCTTTCTCCCTCTTATGCACTCATCTTGACACATACATTCATATGAACGTATGCAAACACATCTTCTAAAGTTTTGTTTCTTTGCTTACTTTTTTTGTCAAATTCTTTTTCCAGGTACTATTCCTTGCATGGACATGTAGAGACCATGGCCCGAGAAATTCAGCGAGGAGCTAATGAAGTTCAGGGTGCTGAAGCAACACTTTGGCAGGTAATTCTGGGTGATAAATAAGAAAATTGTGAGCAATGTAGATTGTTCATCAGGAATGGGCCTTTAATATCCATAATTGAATTTTGTTTGACTTGCTTGGAATAGAGCAGGTACCCGAAACACTTTCTGATAAGATACTGCAAAAGATGAAGGCCCCTTCCAAGCCAACGGATGTGCCAGAGATCAGGCCAGAACAACTTTTGGAGGCTGACGGTTTTTTGTTCGGGTTTCCTTCTCGTTTTGGTGTAATGGCTGCTCAATGCAAGGCCTTCTTTGATGCCACTCATGAACTATGGGGAAGACAAGCACTTGCTGGCAAACCCGCTGGAATATTCTGGAGTACTGGATTTCATGGGGGAGGCCAGGAGCTTACTGCGTGAGTTGCCATATCATGTTAAACCCTCTCTCGCCATTGTGGTTTATGCGTATACAGTTCTTATAGCTTTAAATTTTAGTCAAAAGGGAATCCACTTACATGAAATCTAGTATATTCAAGTTTCAATCTTTATCATTTGCCTCGAGTAAACTTTTTTATGTCTTCGGCCACATGAACTTCCCTTGCACTTAGCTTCCTTGCCGAATGTCAACTGATGTTAAAACCCAAAGATTGGGAAGAGAAAGTGCTTGATATATATTTTCAACTAAAGGAACCACGTGCATATACTCGAACGCAAATGCTCTTTTTGGACCAAGTAATTCGATGACATTTATATTGAACTTGATTCTTGTATGTGCAGATTAACAGCCGTGACGCAGTTGGCGCATCATGGCATGATATTTGTCCCTCTTGGATACACCTTTGGAAGTGGCATGTTTGAGATGAAGGAGGTGAAGGGTGGCTCTCCCTATGGTGCTGGGACATATGCTGCAGACGGATCTCGTCAGCCCACGGAGCTCGAACTGGAACAGGCTTTTCACCAGGGCAAATATGTCGCTGAAATTGCGAAAAAGCTCAAACACCAACTCCCTTCGGCCTAAGAAAATGCATTTCAAGATGATTAAGTCTGACACAGTCCCCTGTAAAGTGAGAAAAAAAAAGGTCTTGCAAATGTAATCGATCCCATACTATAAACTACTGATGAAACACTTTTCTTTGCTAAGACAAGAATGAAATACTTGACGCAATGGGACAGGAGTCTCTTTGCATTAGTACTTTCCATTCAAAGGTCGGTTTCATAAATAAATAAAAAGATGAAACATGACTATGGTAAGCTTAGTAGCTTACCAAGGACACTATTTTTTGTCAGAACAAAAAACTTAGCCAGGACTGCATAATTGATGAAACATCACTTTTTAATTGAACATCTTCGACTATTGCATTTGACACCTAATCAAGCAAGCACTTTTGGGTAGTGCTGGAACTTTAGACGGGCTGCCCGCGACCGCTCGAAAAGCCCGAGGATTTGCCCGAGCCCGAACCTGACTCGCCCGAGATTTTGGGGCCGCCCGCCCGAGCCCGAATTTCACCTTGAACGGGCCGCGGGCTTGTATTCGGCGGCCCAAGCCCACCCGAATTGCCCGAATTTTTTAAACTTTTTTTTTAATATTAAGTTATTTATATATATATTAGTATTACAATTTATATATATATATATATATTATATTTATATATATATTACAATTTGAAATGAACACACGAACTCGGGTTTTCAGACAGAATTCGGGTAAAAATTCAAAAAATAGCCATTTTCGGGTTTTCGGGCAATTCGGGCAACTCGGGTTTTCGGGCAGAATTCGGGCAAAATTCAAAAAACTAGCCGTTTTCGGGTATTCGGGCAATTCGGGCACCTCGGGCGGGTCGGGCAATTCCGG